CATCCACAAAGCATTCACACCCGTTTTAAGGCCAAGTAGATCCAATATTCCGAAGATCAGTATCCTTGACATCAACTCCTACAAAGATGAAACACGATTTTCCATACGGATAATCTTGCCATCATCCCTACCAGGAGAAACTGCTCAAGACAGGCTCATTCTTCACGAGGAACGATGTATGGTTAATTGCGCTGGAAGAATAAATATCTTCTATGGCAAACTGAAGATCACGGTTCCCTTATTAAATTTCCATTTAAGGGAAACAATAAAGAGAACTAACTGAAAACACTCGGATAAGTTTCCACCTGGACACAGTCTTGTATTTTTTCCTGTTCTTTCTCCTTTTATTTGAAAAAAAATCAACGCGGATTCTTCCTATAGTGTTCACGACACACATCTGCATAATCATTCTTAAAGTGGTCACAGGTCTACCATTACTTTGGAGTATGATCGACCAATAGATAACATCCTGAGCACTCTGCTGCCGGATGTTAGGCTCCAAGATGGTTTTGTTCTAAGTGTAGACTACTCTTAACCCATTCACGCCGGGTGTCCTATATATGTGACGGGCCCACTGTGAGTTTACTTGTTTAATTGTTTTTACACATAGTTGGCTGCACTTGTACTTGTACTGCCTGTCTCGCCTGTTTACCCTTTTTCTTTAATTTACGAAAATATTATACTTTATCTTACTTTGCTGTTACTAACATTATAGTAATTATAATGTTTATAATAAAAATAACCATCGATATTCATTGTACTAGTAAAAATACATTTTCCCGCCAAATAAAATCATGTTAGGCAGAGCCATCTAGTGTAGAAAAATTTCATAAAAAGTATAAGAAATGAGCACAGAATTTTCCCCCGTTTTTTGTGCATTTTTACCCTGCGCGAATGGGTTAATTCCGATTAACGTCATGCTCTGGGCCTTTTTCGACATCTTAGCTGGAAGGTGGAGGAAGGTAGTTTCAAGGATCTAGGTTTTTGATTCAATATGTTCTCGTATTTTTATAACTATCTATTATCTTCTGGGTTTTATTGATTGGTTTAACTTTAATAACTGTGATCGTTAGGATATGATTTGCCCTTTTTCCCAACTGGCCGTTCAGTAGAAATTATTTTTAAAAGGGCCCTGTTTACACCGTGTCAAACTGGGATCAGTGTTGCCGTTTTGTGGGTTTTTACTCACAAATCTGTGGGTAAGCAGGATAATTGTGGGTGCCTTTGTGGGTGAGGCGATTTTAAGTCTATTTGTGGGTAAAATTTATGGTGTTCATTGTATGTGTGGGTAGTTTTAGGACTTTTATGCTGAATATATAAATCTACGATTACATTACTTTTAAAATGTAAGGAAATCTAAGTATAAGATGGATTTGTGGGCTATATGATTTTATTATTATTATTATTATTATTATTATTATTATTATTGTATCCTGCCGTCCGCTCAGTCAAGATATGAAAAATAGGAAGCGTCCGGGACCCGTGCATGCAAGAGTGGTTTGTTATCCCGTTGCTTTGAGTGCTGCAGCGCCTCCGCCTCGCCCGCCGCGCCGCGGGACCCGTACGCTTCCTGTTTTGGTCACGTTCAGTCAACAGTCCACACCACGGTGACCGGTTGACGGTCTCTCACAGTGCCACAGTGAACAGTCCACACCACGGTGACCGGGTGACGGTCTCTCACAGTGCCACAGTGAACAGTCCACACCACGGTGACCGGGTGACGGTCTCTCACAGTGCCACAGTGAACAGTCCACACCACGGTGACCGGGTGACGGTCCTCATCACAACAGTCCACACCACGGTGACCGGGTGACGGTCTCTCACAGTGCCACAGTGAACAGTCCACACCACGGTGACCGGGTGACGGTCTCTCACAGTGCCACTCTTCACTCACCTACTCACTACATCGGTTCAACCAACAGTACCCGTGCATGGTACAAGTGGACTAGCTGAACAGTACTGTACATAACAGAGTAGGCCTTGGGTTCCCAGCTCCTGCCCTCTAACGTTACTTCCCAGTGCAAACGGTCTATTGTGCCTGTTGCCTGCAGATATAAATCAACATTTGCAGATATGGATAGTTTGGAGAATGAATGGGAAAATGTCAGCTTTGTGCTGTGGCCCAAAGAATGCCTTAATGATACTGTTAGTTTCTGGGCTGAGGTAAATGAATACACAATGAGCTCAGGTGTAAAAAAGTTTCCAAATTTATCATCACTTGCACTCTCACTACTGTCCTTGCCTTACTCAAATGCGAGCATTGAGAGAATCTTTTCACAAATGAACGTAGTTCATTCAAAATTAAGGAATAGGCTAAGTTTAAGATCAGTTGAAGCCATATTGCAAATTCGCTATGGACTGACACTGCAGTCACTGAACTGCTCAACTTTTGTACCTTCCAATGAAATTATTAGAAACTTTGGAGGTAAAGATAGTGCTGAAGAGGCTAATGATGATATAATTTCCATAGACACGGACTAAAACTAGTGAATGATCGCTC